CCAGGGATGGGGGGTCCAGCGCAGATCCAAGAAATCCACGCCTGGCGCCAAAAGTCTATGTTGATACTGTTTTTTTCCCCTCTTCTAAGGAAAGATTCCAGCAGTGCCGAAGCATCCTGACTTCCCTCTAGTTGGCTACACGCAAGAGTGACTTGTCGCCTGAGTGACTTGCTGGTGCGGGGTCCAATGGAGCCCCAAGATCGCTTGGTGCGATGCGATAGCAGAGGCGCGCGCGCCTGGTGGTGTCCCCGAAGGGCCCCCTCTTGGCCGCGCACTAAAGGTAACTCTTACCTAGGGTCACTCTTACGCGTAGCCGATACAGGCCCGCCAGAGAACGTTCTAAGAATATTCCGTGGCTTGTGCGAAATACGAATAGACAGATATTTCTGGCTACATTCGTTCCCAAACCCGTGCTTGCACTTAGGGGTCCTTCGTCCTGTTCTAAAGAACTGGGCTGCTGTGGCGGTCTGGCGGTTAACAATGTTGTCGCTGTCGCCGCCCGTTCGCCCCCTCGTCGCCGCCCCTGTCTGGCGGCTATGTTGTCGCCGTCGCCGCCTCGTCGCTGCCCGCAGTCTTTGCAATATATATATATATATGGTGAACATATCGTGCACCACGTAGAGTGTACCACACAGGTTGCACAACATATATTACACAATCTTTTATTGCACAACATATCCGTAAATGTTTCGCCCTCTGCCGCCGACCCCTCTCGATCATAATGGGGCATGTAGAAGTCATGTTGGGATGCCTGGGCGCCGTCGTGAAGGAATACCGAAAGCTCATGCGAGGGCGATTGGCAATCTTCAAGGCAAATTGAGATTCACATGATACTGTCGAACTCTGTGTTGTTATCGTATTCGAACTTTCCCTCGCGCTGTGTACTGGACGCCCTCCTGGAACGAGGGGGGGCTGTTTGAGGCTGCGTCAGGCAGAATCGCGCGGCTTGAGCGGCCCTTAGGTTCCTCTGGGTATTTTGCCAGGGGCGGTGGCTTCGGGGACGCGAATACTGCGTACCTGGCTAAGGATCGTGGCCTCGGGGGCGCGAGCACGGCGTCATTCCTCGGAGCTCGTGGCATCCCTGCGGTCGTTGCGTGATTGACGTTGCATCGTTGCCTCGGGGGCGCGAGTCCAGCGCAGTGTGCATCAAGGCTCGTGGGATCCTGGCCTCGGGGGCGCGAGCTCTGCATCGTTGGCCAGGGGTCGTTGTCTCGGGCACGCGTCCGTTTTACAATTTACGAGGGATCGGTGCCTCGGCGACGCGAGCGCGGCGTAGTTTGGGAGGGGTCGCGGCCTCGGAGACGTGAGAGTTTAGAAGTTGCAGGGCCTCGTGGCCTCGTGGGCGCGACTACGGTATACTGAATACGGGGTCGTGGCCTCGGGGACGCGGGTCTGGCGTGCTTTGCGAGGGGCATGGCCTCGGGAGCGCGAGCACTGCGTAATGTACCACGGGTCGTGGCTGCGGGGACGCGGACATCTTATAGTTTACGCAGGATCATGGCTAGCCTCGGTCGTGCGGAGATTTCCCAATTTTCACCCGGTCGTGCCCTTGAGTTGCGAAGATGGTTTAAGTCGTGGCGTCGGTGACGCGAGCATCTGGTAATTCACAAGGGATCGCAGCCTCGGGGGCGCGAGCTTCTCTTATTTTTATATGTCCCACGGACCCCCCTGGGGGGGCGTGGTAAATGCTGGTTTTGGGCTCCCGCCCCTCTCGCGTGGACATCTACAACTTATATATATATATATGTGTGTATACAACTGCGATCATAAAATGGAATGTTTGAAGCTGGAACTGGGGCAGGGAGCAGCAAGCCCCACAAAGGGGGGAGATTGCACCTCATTATCTCTTCCAGCAAGGACTTCGGATCTCCCCCCCGCACACTGCGGCTGTCGGTACCCCACGGGGTTGTGCAATTTACATACGATTCTGCCCCATCGTTTATTTTTGTTTGAGTCCATACGATCCCAAGCAGGCCAGTATCGACCGCCCCACTTCGTCCTTATCAAGTAACACTATGCGACTATGCGCGCGCATTCGTTTTCACACATCATTAATTATCAAGAACCTCTGGTCAACATGGAATCCACACGCGCGCGTCGTCGGTCGACAAGGCCGAAATCGTTCGACTACCGTTAGTTTCGTATTGGTTCAACATCGTGTGTCCCGAATCGCGCCGTGGGTACTCGATCTGCTCGAGTTGGCTGTCCTGGTCTTCGGGGAGCGTCCCAAACGGGGGTGGAGGCTGAAGTCGAGACGCTGCAGTGAGGGCTCGGGTTTTCGGTCGGCGGCGAACGAGGGGGGGAAGTGAGAAGGAGAAGGCCTTGTCAGAGAGCGGCGGGACTTCTCAGAAGCCCTCGCGCCTTCTGAGAAGTGTTCTGTCTTCGGGAAAGCTCAGAAAACTTCTCAGAGCCAGGGGACTCCCGAGCCTTCGAGAAGGCCCGCCCCTTCTCACTTCCCCCCCGCGCTCGCCGCCAGTTCGGGTCTGGTCCTTGGATTTGTGTCGTGGGACTTGTTTGTGGCCTTGGCCCGTCGTGGCCAGAGAAGCTCCTTCGTTCCTGAGGATGCGTTCCTTACGAATTGCGATGACTGTACACCCTGCGAAATGCTTAAGAAATCATGGGTTCAGAAATTCATAGTCTCAGAACTTGAATAAAAACCTAAAGTTTCCATTCAAATCTTAGGATTTACATTGAAACATTAAGAATAACTGAGACTCTGGCCGAAAACTTAAGTTTTCTTAAGCATCGCCTACGGTGTAGGGGTATTGCCTATGAAGAGCTCATCACGCAACTTGGATGCAACACCCATGTGGCGACTTGCGTTGATTGGTTGACCATGGCTGGCGCATCTCTGCGGCCGTGCTGGCGCTCGTAAGCTCGCGCGCAGAAAGGTCAGCTGGGTTGGCACAGCCGATGCGACCGCGATGGCGCTTGCCGATGGGAGCTTACCAGCGCGTGTCAAAGGCCGCGCTGGTGCGCGGACACTTCTCATTTGATTTGCTTGGCTGTCCCAGTCTTCGGGGGCGTCTCAGACGGGGGTGCTTACCAGGGGTCTGTGGATCTCATGGCTTGTGCCCCGAATTTGACATATACATAGTGGCTCCGATGTATTACTCTTCTTCTTATGTGTCTTATTATTCTTGTCATCATGGATAATGTTCGTGCTTTTCCTGGTATGTTCCATGGCCCTTCCCATGCCTCAGGCCAAGATGCGCTAACCTCCCCCTCTTCCCGCCCCTTATCTTCGGCGCGCCCAAGAATTAATTGCCCTAGTACATCGTACCACGTCAATTCGGAGCCAACGCTGGTAAGAACATGCGACATATACGTATGACAAGAGGCGGCCATGGGTTTGCACAGGATGGCCCAATAGGCAGCCTCTGGGGGGAACAGTTGCCGGGCGGACCACCTTCAAACTAAGTTCCATTCGCGCCTCCTTTTCGAAGCCCAGGAATTGCTCAGACGTTGCTCTAGAGCTGCGGTGGGAAAGGGGGGCTTTGTGTATTGTTTTTAAGGGCTTCCGCACGATCACGAGTGGCTCGACGCGCGCCTGACCCTACAGAGCAATGTGGAAGGTCATGCCAGGTTCCCTCGCGCAGGCGATCGCGTTGGATGTGCGCGGCACTGGTGCGATCATTCCAGACGATGGGCTTGGCAGCGTCTCAGTGATTTGTGCTCGCAGTTGCCCCGAGGCCTGCTAGAGGCAGGCGCGGTGCGGGCGACGCATCCTTCTCAAAGCAACTATACATTGACTGCTCTTCGGCTCCCACTTCGAGTCCTCTGACCCCTCTGCTTTTCATGTGGCATACATCGTGTTACCCTTGCTCTCCACGCTCATGCTCCTCTGTCTCATCCTGCAGAAGTCGTCCCTCTCCTCTGTGTCCTCGTTCGCCCTCGTCTATCCTCGTGATGCCCTCTCCCCCGCCGCCGAGGTCCTCCCCGCTTCCGCTCGAGCTGCTGCCCCCGCGAGACCCCTGGGTCTTCCCGAGGACCAGCCCCTCCACCCCGAGTCGTGCTGCCCTTTCCCGCGTGGAGGGCCCGAGGGGTCCCCGAGGCGGCGCCCAAGAATGCAGTATAACACTACAGAACAGAAGGTGGTTGCAGCATGCGGTTCAAGAGGGTCGTTTGAAGAGGTTGATTCGGCGTGCATGCGCGCTCCGTCGCGCTTCGCCGCAAGCTTCCCAAACCCCCTCTGGGGCCTTTTCTGCGCAATGGGATTCGCTCTTGCAGCACGCGTTCAGGTCACGACCCAGTTCTGTCTGAGTCGTGATTTTCCTTCGCCCCTCGTCTTCGCTCTGTTGTTGCGGCTGCCGCTGCCCATGCTCCGTGGGCGGACAGCACATCTGTGTCCACGGCCTCGCGGGCCAGGCCCCCGCCGCCGCAACCCCGTGGACATTGGGCGTTTCTGCGCGGATGCCCCTCGCGGAGCGCGGCCCGTGCGACCGCGCGTGCACGGCGTCGCGCCTCGGAGCCCAGACCGCGAGTCTGAGGCGGGGTATTTCTCCACGACCGCCGCCCGGGGAGCCGATCCTCTGCAACTTCGGCGGGCGGCGGATCTGGACCTGCCGGGCCCCCCTGAAGACCACGCTGCACCCATGTCCGCCGCCCGCCGAGGAGGAGGAGGAGGAGGAGGAGGAGGAGGAGGAGGAGGAGGAGAGGAGGAGGAGGAGAGGAGGAGAGGAGGAGGAGGAGGAGGAGAGAGGAGAGAGGGAGAGGAGAGGAGGAGGAGAGGAGAGAGGGAGAGGAGAGGAGGAGGAAGGAGAGAGGAGGGAGAGAGGAGAGAGGAGAGAGGGGGGTCAGCGCGCGCCTCGGCGGCGTGGGCGCGCGGGACGTGGCCGCGCCCCCGCCGCCTGGTGCCCGAAGGCGCTTCGGCATGGACGGGGTGATCTTCTTCTTCCGCCTCCTCTCCTCCTCCTCCCCCTCCCCCTCCCCTCCCCCCTCTCCTCCCTCTCCTCCTCCTCCTCCTCCTCTCCTCCATCCCTCCCTCCTCGTCCCTGAAGGCGCTTCGGCATGGACGGGGTGATCTTCTTCTCCGACATACTGACGCCGCTGCCGGCGATGGGCATCGAGTTCGACGTCGTGCGCGGGCGCGGGCCGCTGGTGCTCGGGGACCTGGCGAGGCGCCCCGCGGGGGGCTCGGCGGGGGGCGGACCCTCGTGGGGCCACCGGGGGGGGCCCCCTCCCCTCCCCCTCCACTCCCCCCCTCCCCCTCCTCGGCCCCCTCCCCTCCTCCTCCTCCTCCTCCTCCTCCTCCTCCTCCTCCTCCTCCTCCTCCTCCTCCTCCTCCTCCTCCTCCTCCTCCTCCTCCTCCTCCTGGGCCGTGGTCGGCCCCCTCTGGGAGGCCCCCTGGGGCCGTCTTGTGGGCGAGCTGTGGGCCCTCGTGGGCCGTGCTGAGCCCTCGTGGATAACCAGCCTCGAACGTATCCCCACCCCCAAAGATGGGCGAGCGAAAAGCGAGGACAATCTTGGGGACAGGCCCTCAGAGACTGAGGGAATCCTTGAGATCGGCATCGAGGTGAGGTGATGGCAAACATAGGGATAGGGATATGTTTCAAACTGGAAAGTGGACCCGAGAAGGCGAGAACCCGAAAAACACCGGCAAAACCAAAGGGGAACCAACGCTTTGGGCCTCCAGGGGCCCTCTCGGGGTCCCTCGGGAGGGCCTCTCTGGAGCCGTCTCCAGGCTCCCTTGGACCGTTTGGAAGGCCATCTGAGGCTCTCTCGGGGCCGTCTGTGGGCCGTTTCGGAGCCCTCTGGGGCCGTCTTGGTGCCCTCTGGCCGTTTCATTCGAGGAAGTACGTACGAGGAAACAGGCCATGGGAGCCGCCCAGGAGCCGTTTCACTTGAACAAATACGAGGGAAGCGGCCCCCGGGCGGCCATTACAGCCAAGCCTTGCCCGCCTCGCCCCTCCCCTGGACCCCTCCCCAGAGGGCTTCGCCCCAACTCCACGTACATCGCTCGTACCTCGCCCTTTCTCTTATCCCCGGCTTCTCGGGAAGATCGGGAGGAGGGGGAGGAGGGGTTGGACGGAGAGGAGGGGTGATGAGTTCTGGACAAAGCAGGCTCCATGGTTTCTGCCTCCTGCGCAGTCGCCCTTCTCTAGAGTCGCTCTTGCGAGGGCCCCCCAGGAGCGGCCTCTCTCCCGCCCTCGTCGCCTCGGTGCGCTCGAGGGGGGTATGCGGGAGGAGTGGGCACGACGACTGACAGCGGCTCCTTGCCATTTTTGGACAGGGCTCGCCGTCGGCGTCGCCGCGGTCGCTGCCCACTTGAGACGGAGGGCCGCCTGCCCAGCAGCGTCGCCCCGGTGCGATCGAGGTGGGCACGGGGGGGACGGGCACGACGGCCCGCGGGACGATGGCTATGAGGGACAGCGGGCCTCCTGCCCAACCGCGGCCGCTTGCCTGGACAGCATCCGCTGCTGGGCATCGTGCCTGTCTCTTCCGTGCCAATCTCGGCGCCCCTCCCGCCCCGCGGACTCTGTCGCGTCGGTTTTCTGTATGGACCCCTTGCTGAACGCAACCACCCAACGTTCGCGCCAGAGACTGCCGGAAACCACCAGAAACCGCCGAAGACCGACAGAAGACCGCCTTGGGCCGGTTGGTGACCACCCAGGGCCGGTGGGTAATGGTCGAACATGTTGTCTTCGTCGATGTAAAAACAAAGTTTGTGAGCGTGTGTGCGCGCGTGTGTGTGAGAGAGAGTGTCTGTGTGTGAGTCTGTGTGTGAGTCTGTGTGTGTGTGAGTGTGTAAGTGTGTGTGTGTGTTTGTTTGTGTTAGTGTACCTTGTTCGCGTTGATGGCCCCCCCAAAAATATGTATATGCGCGTGCGTGCAGGAGGAGGAGGAGGAGGAGGAGGAGGAGGCGGCGGTGTTGTGTGTTTGTGTGCGTGCGTGCGTGCGTGCGTGCGCGTGCGTGCGCGCGCTCGTGTGTGTGTGTGTGTGTGTGTGTGTGTGTGTGTGTGTGTGTCTGTGTCTGTGTCTGTGTCTGTGTCTGTGTCTGTGTGCGTGCGTGCGTGCGTGCGCGCGTGCGTGCGTGCGTGCGTGTGCGTTTGTGTGTGTGTGTGTGTGTGTGTCTGTGTGTGTGTGTGTGTGTATAGGCGGGCGGGCGGGCGGGCGGGCGGGCGGGCGTGCGGGCGTGCGGGCGTGCGGGCGTGCGGGCGGGCGGGCGTGGGTGTGTGGGTGTGTGTGGGTGTGCGGGTGTGCGCGGGGTTTGTGCGCGTCCTTGCACTACTTGGTTTCGGTGGCCAGCGTTGGCGCCACCAAGATCCCAGCTTCACGGTTGTTGTACGCGGCTCGTTGTTGACCTTTGCGGTTTTTGCGTGTTCGTTCCCCGTTGGCGGAAGTTTGGAGTTGACGTGCCAATCATCCCCGAGCCCCGAGCTCCTTACGGTAGGCTCGCCCCGCTTCGACGCGGCGGTGATCCCAGCGCGGGGGTTCAAGTTTTAACGTTGCCTGCTTGCCAGCGTTGGCCGACACTGAACAAACGGTGCGCTAGTGGAG